GTGGTAACCCGGTAGAAAAAAAAAAGAAAACGTATTTACATTTTCCACTGATAACATTATTTGGATCAAAAGAATTAAAATAATAAAGTGGCGCAAAAAAAAGACATATTAGATTGTGAATATAAGTAAAATACATACTATAGTTAAATCACTAGTTAACAAATTGATCCAAGTATATTGCAAAATAAAATATTCAGTGGGTATCATGGCAGGAATGTGAGGTGCAAATATAAATATTTGGGGTAGGGGTATGAGTGCTTCTCATAACGAATACACCCTATAAACATATTGGAGAAAGCAAGTGAATTGTTCCTGACTTGGCATATCGTTACAGAGGGGGGTTAAAATAACCAGTTAAGAAAACTGTATCATTGAATAGAGAAACAGATATACGTGTATACAACGACAGTTACGAGAGCTTTAGATTTTAAATAATTTACCAATGTAAACAGTACATTTTTAACTAAACACGAACAGTATGTTTTTCGCTAATAAGTTCTTATGTTTCATATAAGAAAAGTTGTTATCAACAAAAGTTATACCTGTAGAGTATATTTTTACTAATGACATTGCAAACACCCAAAACTCCTACAAATTTCTGAAAAAAAATGGGAAGTCACAAAATACTGATAATTATTTTGTATAAGATACAAGTACAAACACACGATTTGTGCACTTCTTACGCAAGAATCTTGCGCACTCACCTGCACGCAAATCTTACGCAAATCTGCCCCAATCAGGAGTGCATCAAATCAAGACAAATATCGAACTCGACTAATCGTCAGATTTGTGCACTTCTTACACAAGAGTCTTGGTCACCCGTCGCGCATCAGAATTACGTAAGATCTTGGAAGCATACTAGATGCAGACTTAAACAATTTTGCTGTTGATGTAAATCTTGTGCAAGAAGTACGTAAGAATTGCAAAGACTGTGCTACCAGGGGTAAATGCTGGAAAATAGGAGTGACCCAGTGCAAAATAATTGGAAAAAATTATCATCAAGTGGACATTATTGCATATATATAATATTTCGATAAAATATTTATCACATTTTATTTTTATGATGTGTATTGAATTGTATGTTCATTGAAAGACTTTGAGTAAAATACAAATGAATAAATATTTTTAACTACCAATATATATGGTTTTATATGGTGGAACGTTGCTTGGAATGCCCCACACAGTTAACTGTATGACAATTAACTTTATTATTTATTACATAGTAATAATGACGATTTGCGCAACGACCCCCTATTAATTAATTATGACTTTCTTGACGCTTCTTCTTGACGATGAGATAAATCATGGCGATATTACAGTTTTGTCTTAAAGTAATTAAATATTGAACCACATTAAAAATAATAGATTAATCCATGTACGACACGTACACGTCTGTATACACATCAAGGTTCGTGAAAGACGGTATGATTCCTGTCAGGTTCCCCTAAAGTAGCGTGGGGGATGGTGATGGTATGGGGGGGTTACTAAAAAATGCGTGGACGGCTGTATAGGATTTTGGGAAAAACTGCAATGTGCCAAAATAAGGGAGTACATGGCGGATTTTTACCTTATTGTGTGGTGGGGCACTAAGGGGGTGATGGGGGGGGGGTCAATAGGGCTCTGTGGGAAGCTGTGGGGGGTTGTGTGGAATGCCCCACCGAGATAACTATATGACATAGGAAGATATATAATCTCCACATAGGTTTTTTTGATGGGCTTCGTTAAGACTAAATTTTATCTAATGGAAACAGATAATGGAAATAAACATATCTGACCTAAGCTCATCAATGACAAATGAGACCAGACGCAAAGTCAATATTCAAGTAGCTTCATTTGAATTTATCTCGTATCGTGAAGGTGGAAGTATTAGTGTGCTATGTACTTCGAAGGAACCACAGATACGATTTAAATAATTCAACATATATTATGTAAATTCTTAAACACTACCTGGTCAGTGGAGATACATTTTGTTTCCAACTCTTCTTACGCCTATGAATACACACATAATGCATCTTTACATTTGTTTTTATTTTAAATTTTCCATAGAACTGATTTTTATCTAAAATTTCTTATTTTATGGTAGCCCTATCACGATTTTACGTAGATATTACAGCACGTACGATATTACAGCACATTAAAAAGTTCAGACGTGCCTCTCTCATTGCTAAAAAGGGCGTGATTACCCCAATGAAGCAATTTTTTATTAAGTGGATTGTGAATTCGAATTGAGTTCTATTTATTTGTTTATTGATTTCTGCACTTGAAATTGTTATTGTTAAACTAAAAACATACTTAGAATAATTGTTGTACTAACACTAATGTTTAAATCAATATGTGGTGATATGTCTTTAAATAATTTAACTTTACATGTTCTTACATACCATTTTTGCATACTACATTTAAGCTCAATATTTTTTTGATCACAGCAAATTCAGAGCTTTATTTTATATTATTTTGTGAATTTTCTACATACTTATTCAATGTGTTCATCACGGTTGTCTCCGATTTTAACAAACATTATAGTTTACAGAAATATAATTTCTTAAATTGATAGTAATGCATTTTATTTAATTAAAGTTTCTGATAAAATATTTCCATACTTGCACCACCACTACGAAATAATTATTTAAGTTTTTATTTAAGAGACAATATTTATATAATTGTCAACTTTTTATTCAGTTTCCATAATTTTAATCTTAGAAGCATTGTGACTACAACATAGAATTTGAATCGTTTTTTGTTCAATTTCAGTCTGTAAAAGTAGTTAAGCTTCATAACATTATACTTACCAAAGAAAACTTATGGCTTTGTCACTAGCTCAATTATGCTATAAATAAAAATTGGATGAAAGCAATTGTCATGAAGCCTAACAATGAATATCATTGTAACGTTACTTCAGTGCAAAAACTTAAGGTAGATTTTGGTATCTGCTGCTATAGAATTGAGAATGAAAATATTCCTAAGGATTCAAATCCTGACCTTATCACATAAAGGATTGTGAATGGAACTCTCGATTTCGTAATCAGCTTATGCTTTACATTTAATTGTAATTATATGTAAATTTCATAAGTTTCATTGTACCTAACGCTCGCACAATTAATTGAATATGTATTTGGTTAGTTATGTAATTTTAGACATATTTTTCCGTACCAACATTACTAAAAGGTAACAAATGCTGGCTGTGACTGCTACGAGGGTACCCTATTACAGAAGAATAAGTCAACTTTGAATTACCATTACCATATTTCAAAACCTGTTTTATGTCTACGTTAACGTAACTAAACTTACTAAGCTCTTCGTTTGGCGATTGAATATATTTTACCTTTTAAATAAGATCAGGGCCTCTAGCTCATAGCTATATACATTTATAAACTTCATAAAAATTCATTATCAATCACAAAAATTCTTTTACGTTTGGTCATCCCCTTTTTTTTCGACAATATTTGAATTTTATTTTTTTCAAGAGGTTTATTCAATCATTAATCATAATAAAAATTGTATGACCCATGAACATCATTTAAATCGAAATACGTGATCTCGATCGACTTCAACCTATAATACTACGATGAAAGGTCTTTATTCAAAATTATTTTCCGTTTTAAGATACGACTGTTAAATTTCTCAGTAACTTAAGGAGGTTCGGTAGTGTTAGCGGGGGGAAATCTCAGAGAGACAAAGGAAGGAAGAGCGTCTGGCAACGTTGTGAATTTTTTCGGCTGCTGGCACGTCGTCTACTGTTGTTGTCGTCTACTGCTGTTGTCGTCGTCTACTGATGACAGTGTACTTATTTCTTCGGTTGAATTTTTTATAATTAAATTTTCAATTACAAAAGGAGTTTTTACTATTCATTACATTTCAAAGCGCGCTCCAAAAGCAGCGTTGCCAAGTCGTCTGCTGCGAGCACATTTTTGCTGTTTTTTAATAGAAATTTGTGGTAGGGCTCTCTCAAACTTTGACAAAATATTATTTTGACAATATTCTTTCATTTAAAAAAAAAAAAAGCAAGTTCATTTAGCCGTTTTTTTTTTATGTGAAATTTAAGTGATTTCTCCATAAGCCTACATGTTAAAATATTGTTTTTTCAGGTCAATATATCTTGAAAACGGTGTGGTTAAGCCCTTCAAAAATTTAGCTGTAATTTGATACTATTATCCCAAACGACATATCGAAATTTCAAAAATTTTCATCATAAAAAATTATCACTACCGAACCTCCTTAAATGTCAGCTGCCATGATAATTCATCAAGATAACTTTAACGTCATTTTCTGAACATTTATTGTTAGTCTAAGAATGGTATCTGCTTCTAAAGCTTAGTAAGCAAAAAATAATAAGCTTTTTTTTTTAAGATTGATAAAAAAATACAGTAAATTAGAATTCATAACTGTATTTTTTAAGTATATATATTAAGACTTGTGGTTAAGAAAATTACTAATTTTTAATAACAAACAGTCAAAAACTATTGAACACAACTTTTTTTAAAACTAAATTCTCAGTATATCTCAAAAACTGTAAAGTGAATGTAACCTTCCCTTAACATAGGCTTGCGCAGAAGCAGTTGTGTGTTACTCCAGTTGGACAGGCAGGAAATAATACATAAGCAAAATCTAACGACTGACGAAGAAAATTGATACATAACAGACCTTAAAGAACGATCAAACAAGCTTAATTTGTAAACATATAGCTTCTGTCATTTATAAAAATTTATTAAATTATTTTTTAAATTACGACATTTCAAGTAGAATTCAAAGACAAGTTTGTACATTTTTTTTCTTACCACATGTTTCATTCGTTCTTTATAAGTACTATGACTTTTTATGACTCAATACATGATAATTTTTTTTGAAATCCTTATAAATCTTCAAACATGTTACTTTAAACAGTGAATTGATACCAAACACTAATTCTAGTTTCTCTTTAAGGAAAAGTGAGCAAGAAGACAATTTTTTCCAAAATGTTGTTACGCAATGGATACAAATAAATACTCAGGATGCAATAGACAATAAGAATCAGTATTTCAACGCATTTCGTGCAAAGATAAGTTGTACGTTATAACTTACACTTTATTAACACTTAAGTTGTACATCATGTCTGCTAAAAAAAGGTTCATCCTGTTAAAATAAGAAAAGGGTTTAGTAATATACCCTCATGACAACCAGACAAATGACGTGACAAAAAATGTTGAGTAAAAAAAAGAATATTTTTTTATACTTCAGTTAAGACGATTCTCACTAGTACTGTATACATTAAAACTCTCCGTTTCTGCAAAACGCTTAAAATTTGTGTTTAAGTTTTGAGAAAATGCCAATTTCAAAAAGTTAGGATGTAATGTGTTGTATTTTTTATCAAGCAATAACTATGAACTAAAATAATTAAATACCTATTCGCACCATTTTTTTATGCAACATGTATAAAATGTATGATAATTTGTATTTACTTTAAGAGTAGATAACAATAGGCAAATATAGACACAAACATGCATGTAAGGAGCATTAATAAGTAACAGGTTGTAATATAAATATTGTTCCTTTTCCTATATTCATGTATTTCATGCTTGTAGTTATTAGCAGAGACTGCAACCATCTTATTTTACAAAGGAATATTTGAAAATAATCTGTTTATGTAATTGAAGGGACTTTATAAGCAGATAAAGCTAATTTTCATGAGAAGCCAAAAATGCTTTAAATCATAAAAAAGTTGTGAGAATGAGTAATAATATTCAAATTTTGAGCAGTTGTCTGTTTTAACCATAAAAATTTGAAAATACTCCTTATATCCATCATCATTTTTATATGATAAGTAACAGTCAAATCACTTTTAAAACTTGTTACAATTGAACTACATTTTTTTTGTTTTAACTCGTAATCCATTTTCTGGCCTTTATTTATTATNGTTACGTTGTCCTAAGTTGGTTTCTAGCTTTCTCTATTAAAAGATCTGTTTAAGGAAATAAATACAATATACGAATGCATTAAATAACATCGCACATAAAGTTTAAAATAACAAACTTCAGACGGTTATTTAAAATTCAATATGATAGCAAACAGAACATATTCCACGTCTTTCTTCATCTCATAATTTTTTATTTTTTATTAACTATTTTTGATTAACATTTTTTTGGGCTTGAACCTACCTTTTTTTATTCTTATCTACGATTTTTTTTTACTTCCTCCTAATTTTAATGATAGCATGAGGATAGTTATATTGAGGTATAATACATTTTCTTTGTACATGTCTCAATTATTATTATTAGGGAAACAGTTGAAAGAAATGCTACATATAAAATATATTAAAATTGCTGTTAACTAAGAAAATAACTTTAATATAACTATGCATTCTTTTCTCGTTTTACTGTTAATTAGATCTTTTGAAGATTTTTTTAATATCCCTAGCAAAAATAGCCTTAGAATTGCAAAAACAATGAAAAAATCTAATGGAATGTTAAATTAACTTAAAAAGGACAAGTACGTAAGTAACAAGTAACACTGGTGTTTTGTTACTTGCTAACGTAAATTTTTTTTCATGGTTTTATAGTAAAGTTTACTATTTTGAAGAGTCGTTACTGGTGTCGTTACAAATATTACAATTATGTATAAATTTGTTGTCTTACTCATATACTCACAGTTTTAAAAGCTTAGATAAGTGGTATAAGAATACAATTCGTTTTATTACAATTGTAAAGTTAAACAGTATGCAGCTAAAAATTAGGTGTAAGACCCGATTTTACTTTTTGATAAGTTCTTATATCATTCGATGTATAAAAACTTACGTAAAAACTTACACAAGAACTGACGATTGGTTATAGATCAAAAAGTTGATTCTGAAAATATTTAGAAACAACATTATCATGTAGTTATACAGAAAAGTCGTCAAAGTTGTTCTCTCACTCATGAGAATACCTAAATTGTAAATATAAGTGAAGGTTTATCCTAAAACGTGGCTGTCAAGGTGTCTTGAGAATTAGGTGCCGTACCTAATAAGGGGCCCTTTGAGGTTCTATGGATTAGCAAGAATACGTTTTGTTTATTGTTATGATTATTAAATATCTCAATCAGATATTTAAACTCAAAAGTTTTATTGACCATAAAAGTTATAAAATATCGATAAAAATAGCAATAAAAAATTATCATTTTAATCCGTACATGCACAGAGTACGATAAATTACTTTTTTTTAAATTTTTTTTACGTCAAAGTAGTTTAAATATAATTCTCACAATTCTAAAAAATGTCTTGTAAAAAAAAGGTATGAACACAGTTCCTTTTTGTTTGGATTTTTCATTTATTTTAAGAGTTGTAGTCGTTTTAGTAATAAATGCCAAGAGACTGCGTGTTATATTGGTAACTTTTTAGTAGCATTTTTCTGAAAAATAAATGGTTTATCCCTTGTATCTTTCTTATCTTAAATTAATTAGGCACACTCTATCTACATATTTTCAAAATTTTAGAGATTTTTATTATTCCAGTTAGAACCACCCACATTAAAGTGTTGTTGGACCTTAAGTGCATGTGGAAGAACTTACTGTACAATAACTACTAAAGAATAGGCACTAATCGATGGAGCATACATTGAAAATCTTGGCAAAAATACTATATTGGATCTCTTAAGACGGTAATTGGGTGCCTATGAGTGATGGTGATTTATATTTAATAAAAAATTAATATCATTTTTTAGGTACACTACAGCAAGAATATAGAAGAGGTTAGGTGACTCTGTACTTGTTTGGCTTTTGTAGTATCAACAGTACTACTGTAAATAGTACATTGACGATTTAGCATAAGTCCACTGCTGAAAACAGTCAACTATTTTATCAGCTAATAAATCAGCTGATTTCTGATGCCAAATCGTCAGCTGGATTTTTGCCTGTGCGAAAAAGTACAAGTCCCATCAGTGTAAAAAAGTCCTAGAGGAAAAATTGCATTTTCTGCCAGTGACGGGACTTAAACTTTTTTTAGTACATGAAATTTGTCCTTTTTGCTGTTGGAAAGTTTTTTAAATTTCCATATTTTATTTCTCTTATTCTACAGTTAAAGTCCGAGAATAGATAGTTTTGATAATAGCAAAAAAGCTTAGTCCCACCAGTGGCAGAAAATACCCATAGAAAAATTATATTCACAATCGTCTACAGTATGCGTTTTGGGCCATTTACAGTAGAATAACATAGGTAAACACAAAGACATTTAAAAAACTTTTGACAGCACAAATTATAAGTTATTGCACTAAAAAAAGTTGAAGTCCCATCAATGGCAAAAAATTTCTTTCAGAGATCTTTTTCCATCCAAATTGCGATTTTCACTCTAAAAATGGGCGTGACGTTTCTGTAAAAAGTATACATGGCACAATTTGGATGAAAAAAGGTCAATGTATTATAATTAGACATAATACTTACCCATCGAGTTATAACATTAATATCCATAATATCGGCGTTCGACCTAAGGACACGCATAAGCATAGCAGTGGAGAAGGGTGTCTGCCGAGGCTTCGGTGGCGAAGTTGGTTAACGCACCTTCCCGGCAAGGAGGCCCAGGTTCGACTCCTGGCCGAAGCAGATAACTTTTTTCACTGCTATGTAATTTTTAATTGACAAAGTTTTTCGCAGTACAGCGATTTTCACTCTAAAAATGGGCGTGACGTTTCTGTAAAAAGTATACATGGCGCAATTTGGATGGAAAGAGGTCAATGTATTATAATTTTACATAATACTTACCCATCGAGTAATAACATTAATATCTATAACAAGTATCGTTAATTGAGAAACAGAATTTCTGACCGTTAAAGATCAAAATTTTCATAGTGACATTTGACGTTGAATAATATGGTCCATACAAGTAATTTTAGCTTCCACTTTGTAAATTACAAGTATCGTTACAGCGAAAAAAGAGAAGTCTCCATAGCGCAAAAAATTACAAGTTCTGAAAACCAAAACTCTTAATTTTGATTGTGAATGTTTGTATTCTAAGAAATTTAGAGTTAAGTTACGTTGTCCTAAGTTGGTTTCTAGCTTTCTCTATTAAAAGATCTGTTTAAGGAAATAAATACAATATACGAATGCATTAAATAACATCGCACATAAAGTTTAAAATAACAAACTTCAGACGGTTATTTAAAATTCAATATGATAGCAAACAGAACATATTGGATCAGCGTTATGGTACAACCTCATCAACATAGGCAGCCCATGAAAGGTCATGACGAGTAGTGTATAACAAGCTGTGTGTCATATCCCAAAACATGAGCAGAACAAGTAAAGTTTAGTAAGCTGCGAGCTACATCAATTGAAATTTAATGTAGCATTTGACACAAAATAGTAGATTACTTTTCACACCTTTTTTTCAATTTGCACTCACGTTTGTAATTATATTCGTATATTGGTAATTATGTATACAGACATCTACGTCGAGAATGAAGTATTACTGTTGAGTTTTCGACCACTTTTCTACGTACGATAAGGTTGAATTTTTACTAAAACCATAGATTTCAATAACAATGCAATATAGTGCATTTAATTACATAGACCATTTATTACGGCAGCCAAAAAAAGGTTTATCTAAGTTTTGTTTTAACCCTCTCGAGTATGGTGAGTATGTAGAGGTCTAGTGGTCATCTACAGAAGAGAAAAAGATTTTTTGTCCCGAGAGCACACCAGGACTTTTAACAGTGAGGCTGATGACGTGCTTGCTACCTTAGACATGAGAGAAGTGTGGACTCAGACTGACTCAATCGCGCTTATATAGTCATCGGTCGGATGTTGGTCGCCACTTGATGGGAGACAGCATTTAGGGGCTTGGCCACCTGGTGAGTAGAGTCTGAAGCGCGAGAGATGTGAGACGCCACAAGTATTATTCGCTGTGAGAGTGAAGACAGCCAGCGCTCTAGTCGACGATTTTTTGAAACGCTGGCTGGATACTGGATGACACCCACGATGCCAAATCTAGAAAAAGTATTTATTGCAATGAATATAAGATCTGTATGGTTGAGCAAGTGTTATTAAAAGATGATGTAAGCAATTTTCTTGATTACAGAAAATAAGTAAAGTGATTTTAGTG